CTCGCTGCACCCCTCTCGCCTGCCTCTGAGCACAGCGTACAGTGTGCAGTTGCCCTCCTGAATGCTTGCATGAAGAGCAGCAGCTGATGTGTCCCGGGCCAGCCTGAGTAGTAGTAGTAGTAGTAGTAGTAGTAGTCGTCGTCGTCGTAGTAGTAGTAGTAGTAGTAGGAGTAGCACTAGTAGTAGTAGTAGTAGTAGTAGTAGTAGCAGGAGTAGTAGTAGTAGTAGTAGTAGTAGTAGCAGCAGGAGTAGTAGTAGTAGTAGTCGTCGTCGTCGTAGTGGTAGGAGTAGGAGTAGGAGTAGGAGTAGCAGCAGCAGCAGTGGCAGCAGCAGTGGCAGCAGCAGTGGCAGAGGCGAGCACAAGCAAAGCGGAAGCAGCAACGACAAAACAAGGGGAAAGTTGCTGACGTGCTTGTTCCAATGCTGAAGCATGATGTTGCCACCTGCTGAACCAGGATGCTTGAGTTATTGCCATTTCTCTACCAGTCATCCACCATACGCAGTGGAATATTTGTTGAATTATTTGCTGGTGTTGTTGTCGTTCGTGGTGGTGGCGGTGCTGGTGCTGGTGCTGGCACTGGTGCTGGTGCTGGTGTGGGCGCTGGGGCTGCGCGCTGGCTCTGGTGCTGTTGCTGGTGCTGGTACTGGTGTTGTTTCTGGTGCTGCCGCTGGTGCTGGTGCTGGCGCTGGTGCTGGTGCTGGTGCTGGCGCTGCCGCTGCCACTGCTGCTGCTGCTGTTGCCGCCGCCGCCGCCACTGCTGGTGCTGTCGCTGTGCTTCATCTTGTAATTTTGCAACACAACCGAATGTAGCATCGAGACTATGCTGTCTACTTTGGTGCGTACTAGTTGTACTATGCACGCCCACCATCCTTCTTTGTGCGAGGCTTTCCCTTTCGAAAACCCGTTTTGGCAGCCTGCGGCGGTCCATCAACCTCCTCAGTCTTCCCGGCCACGTACTGGGTCTCGCCGTCCACCTGCCGAGGTCTCCGAAGGCCCCACTTTGTGAGTTGAAGACCAGCATGTTTCTCTGAGGTTGCCCCGGTCCGAAACTGAAGCTTGAAACCCGGAACCCGGAATCCCCGAAACCTAGTCCGTCGAGTCCAAGGTTTCGGACTTCCGCTTGCAACCAGCGGGGCTCTCGAGCTATAAACTGCTGATCAGATCATTGCACCCTCAACGCTCAAAAGGTTTGGAGTTGGATGGCTTCGTATAGAAGCTCTACACACATACCCCACTTTAATAAGCAGCCCTGTTGTTGCGAGTCAAGGGCGGGTTAGGGAGGCCTTTAGCAGTGAGGGGCTGATACAAAAAATGAACACGAATATATACATAGACATATATAAGTATGGGGATATACATGTACAGATACATATACATACACAAAGCATACATGCATGCATGTATAAACATGATTTGTGTGCACATGTGTATGTGTGTGTATATATATATATATGTACGTACGTACGTACGTAGGTAGGTAGGCATGTATGTATGTATGTATGTATGTATGTGTGTATGTGTGTATGTGTGTATGTATGTATGTATGTATGTATGTATGTATGTATGTGTAAATGTACACGTGTGAGTGTCTATATGCAACACATCCATCCATCCATCCATCCATACATACATACATACATGCACGCGTACATGCATGCATACATACATCCATACATACATGCATGCATGCATACATGCATGCATACATACATACATACATACATACATACCTAGAGATAGAGATACAGATACAGATACGGGTACAGATAGAAAAAGATATAGATGTAAGTAATAGAAAAAGATATAAACATAGATATAGATATATGTATATAAATACGTACATACACATTCATTTATTTGTTTATAGCTCGTACATATGTGAAACAAAGAAACGTATACCAACAAGCAAGTGCAGACTACATAATGTACATGTTCTTGACACACATCTAACATGTGCTCAGCCGGCATCGGAAAGCTACACGATCATACAGATGAAGATATCCTCCCAAGGCTAAACTGCTAAACCATCCTGAGCCCATGAAGCCGAAGTTTATCATATTTAGACACTAGACCCCAAAAATAAAACCCCAAACCCTAAGACCGAGAGCCAAGCGCTAAATGGGAGATTCCGGCAACAAGGAACCCCTGTAGACACCTTAAGCAAAAGGCTTCTTAGCCAGAAGTGGAGTCTCATTTACTGAGAACCCCAAAAAACCCAGAAAACTTGCGCCTGGATCTTCTTGAAGGCGGCGGGCCACTGCCTGCACGCTTGGGTTCAGGTTTAGGGTTTAGGGCGCTCGGGAGTGTTTAGAGTGTAGAGCAGTTCTACGGTAGATCATGTTGCCTCATGGCTATGTTTGCTGTCAGTTATCATTGATCATTGCCATGACTTGCACAAGCACTGCCAGTCAGCAGTGTCTTGATTACTGTGGGTTTGGAACAAACAAGTTCAAAGTGTTTAAACCTTTTTACTACATGCAATGCCGCTCTGTCCTTATGCTGCTCATAGTGCCTGCACGATCCTCAAAAAGCTTTGAGCATTGCCACCATCCTTGCTATCCTACTCTAGAATACAATCATTCTTCTTGCTTTCTTCTGCTTGTGCTAACTCTCTTCCTCATCAGTACTACGGTTGTTAAGAACATGCCGATGACCACGAGTACGACTACTGTAGACCTTATTGACGCCGCCGGTTGCATTGTTCTTGTGGCCTACTGTTGCTCGAAAAAGTGTTTTTAGAATTCCGATGCTATAAAGAAAGCGGGGTTTTGAGACTGCCGAAGCCGAGCATAGGCAATGTCAAAAATGTTTGCAAACACAAGCTCACCTGCCGTACAGGGCTTGGGGTTGGTCTGAACTTCTTCTGGGCCGTTTATCGAGTTTATCGCTCTGATTGAAAGTTCTAAGCATGCCGATACTGCGGCTCTAACTGTGTGTTGAAGTGTCTCGTCTAATTTGCCATGCACCTTCGACTAGCTAGCTGGGATGCTGGACGAGTTGCACATGATGCATGGTATTCTAGCTCACGAAGCTTGTCTCTGAGAAGAGAGTTTCCCAATCCAAGCAAGCGGCGTCATCGTGGCGCCGCTCTCATCCCTCATGCTGTCCACCGGGATTTTGACCTGGCAGATTCGAGGAAAAAAGAAAAGCATAGGGCGATCAGAAGCAGATTCTGATACATCGAACCTACAAATGCAAGGGGCGTCAAGAAACCCCACATCTTCAGCAGACAGCCGTTGCCTGGTAAGTGTTTCCCATGATGGTCTGTCCCAGCATCGGCGCCGGTGCTGGTTGCCCCTCACTACCCTCACCGATGGGAGCAGCATACATTGCACCCGGCGGCACACCCTCGCTGGCAGCAGGGGCGGCGTACATTGCACCCTCCATAGCCACGGGAGCAGCGTACGTTGCACCCTGTGGCATTTCAGGGGCGGCGTACATTGCACCAGGTGGCACCTCCGTCGCCGCAGGGGCGGCGTACATTGCACCAGGTGGCACCTCGGTCGCCGCGGGAGCGGCGTACATGGCGCCAGGTGGCACACCCTCGGGAGCAGCGAAGACGTAGCCGGGGCCGGGGGCAGCGTCAGCTGGCAGCTCAGTGGGCACGGGCTCAGTCGCGGTGGGGACGGCATACATGAAGCCCGGGCCGGGTGCAGCCTCGGTTCCTGGAGGTGCAGCATACATGTAGCCGGGGCCTGGTGGTTGGGTCAATGGACCGGGCTGCACGGTGCCGGGTGTGACCTGGGGGAACTGGCCAGTTACCGGCTCCATCAGCATCTGCTGGCCATCCGGCAGCGTCGTCACCTCAGGTCCATTTCTTGCTGAATGCTTTGCCAGCAACTGCACTCGGCACCTCTCAGACTCTGGGGCCGCGGCGGTGTTCATTGTTGCTGCCATGTCTGCAAATAGAACCTTTGTCAGACCATAAACTGATGCAGCTCTTGAAAGTCTCCGACACTGCAGGGCTTCTCTCTCGGAATCAAACGGGGACCGGTGAAGCTGCCGAGTAAGCCAGGGCCCGGGCAGGGCAGAAGAATCGAGTGCGAGATGATGCGAAAAATTGTAAGTGTTACTAGACGATCTCGTGCACAAGTCTGCCGTCGGACATGAATGCAGCAGTGCTTGATGATAGGGATAAGACCCTACATTGCAGATAAAATTCCAAGATCGCTGAGTCAAAATGGCTGCGGGACAAGGCCTACAGTGCCATCGGACCTGCTTTGCTGCTGCATGTGGCGGCTGCATTGGACCTGACAACAGCAGCTCCAGTTGCCACACAGACGACTGTTGCTCCTACTGCTGCTAGTTTGACCATGTCTCGACCGTTACCAGCACCTGTGCCACTGCGAGCCTTGCTCATGATAGTGATGCCAGCATTCTTGCCACTACATCATGCGCATATGATACCAGTGTCACTACGTTTCTGAAATCCCAAGCCTGATACCAGCCTAGGCCCCAAGCCGTTGGCTCGCGTGAGCAATCCAATTTTTTCTGGGAAACCGCAGAATGAAGCTCCTTTGCAGGTCGATCGAAATCTGGGCCAATCAACATGTCGCAACTGCTGCGATTGATGCATGCACATTGGCCCCACAAAGAGAAACATATGTGACGAATTACCCCTTCCAGCAATGTTGAAACATCGTTCCTGTCGTCGCTCATCTGCAGAACTTATGGCTACAAGACGGTGCATACGAAGAAAGGAGCGAGTGTTCTACGAACTTCTAGCAGCCATTTGGAGATGTCAACCCACTCTTGCTCACTGACCGTCGGAACGCACCAGCTGCTCCTGAATACACAAGTTCAATTGGAGATCTCGACAGCAGCAAGTCTCAATTTGGGCGAGCCCTAATTCCTCAACTCGACCCTAGACCCAACAACATCCGAACTCTTTTCTTTGAACCTCCAAGCCTTCAAGCCATTTCAAGAAACAACCCCAACAAGCCTCCAGATGGCTGGATGCGACAAAGTCTCTACTGCTTTTACAAGCAAACAGAATCTCTTGTAGCCCTCCTAATTCCTTTGAAAGGCGTCTTTTCAAGTTGTGTGCCGATTCCAACAAAAAGCACGAGTATCTGCAGTGACAGCTTCCACTTGTGGCTAGCATCATCATCATCATCATCATCATCGTCATCGTCATCGTCATCGTCATCGTCATCATCATCAGTTGCAACGTTTTCCATGCAAAACACCGCATTCTGAGCATAAGCTGCGAAAGTTTCCACACACTGACCCAAGAAGGGACAGCATCATGAGCATCAGCAGTGACAGTTGCCACTGAGTTGCCACAAGAATCTCTGCAAGCGAAGCATCATGAGCCTCAGCAGCGAAGTGTTTCCACGCCAGCAATCTGCAAAGCAGAGCATCATCATCTTCTTCTTCTTCATTATCATTATTATCATCATCATCATCATCAGCTGCAACGATTTCCATGCAACAACTGCTGCAAACACCGAATTATGAGCATCAGCAGCGAAAGTTGCGGTTTACCCCCGGCTGGGACAGCATCATGAGCATCAGCGGCGACAGTCTCCACACAAGACCCCCTGCAAACACAGCATCATTAACATCAGCCGCGGCAACTTCCACATGCTAAGCCCACCACAAAAAGCATCATGAGCATCAGCAATGAGCGCTTGAAACACAAAAACCCAGGCAAACACCACATCATGAGCATCAGCAGCCGTCGTGAACAGTTTCCACACAATAACACATGAGAACAGACCGGGAATGGACAGCATCAGGAGCATCAGCTGTCATGGTTTCCACACAAAAATGCCTGCAAGCATCGCTTCATGAACATCAGCCGTGACGATTTCCATGCGATACAGTAACCGCAACCCGCTTTGGCAGCATCATCAGCATCAGCTGCAACGGTGTACACGCAACAAGAACTGCAAACACCGCATCATGAGCATCAGCCCGCGACGGTTCCATGCACCAACACCAATAAGGACAGCATTGGTACCCCCTGCAAACACCGCATTATGAGCATCAGCCACGACACTCCAAGCAGGGACGGCATCATGAGCATCAGCAGCAACAATTTCCACATCAGCAGTGACCGTTGACAAACACCGCAGAATGAGCATCAGCCGCAAAACACGCGGGCGCCGACAAGGGCAGCACAGCCACACGTAGTGGCTTCCACATAAAGAACCCCGCAAGCAGCGCATAGCCCCGCCAGGGACAGCATCATGAGCATCAGCTGCAACCTTTTCTGTGCAATAATCCCTGCAAACTCCGCATCATGAGCATCGGCTGCGACAGTTTGCAGTATCCCCCGGCGGGCCTGGACCTTCAGATCGAGAAGCCAACAGCGACATGAACGGGCCTGCCTCTGTAGAAGCACGGCTGCGTGAGCTAGACTGCAGTCGTAGTTTGAGCTTACTGAACTGTAACACCACATACCGTTCTCGATCCTAGCATACCAACTTCGGCATACAAATCATAAACCTTGCCTTCTAACCGCTAGAGCACACTGTATTATCTGTGGGAGCAGTTTGGGTACAGCAATCTGAACTGTGCTCGTATACGCATCCGAGCCTGGATTTGCTTGAAAGCTGCCGGCCACTGCCTGAGACATCCCGCTCACACACTCGAAGATTCGATACACAATCGGAAGACATACAGGGGAGTATGCACACAAGTTTCTTGATACGACCCGTTCTCTAAAAAACACCCGACAAATTGCTGCTCCTACGACTCAGGAGCTCAACGCAGAAGAACACCAGAAATGCAGCGGCCAGATGCGTCGCCCTTTGATGAAGGTGAGGTTTCGTCTGGCTTGCTAGACTTTGATATAGTACGAACTCTAGCAATTGCAGCATGCTACAGCCTACAGTAGCACATTCTACGACGCTAAATGGTACTTCCCTGTGCAGTGATTTTGGTGTCGGAACCAGGCAGCAGGAACAATGGACAGCTTCGGCATGCCTGAGGCTGCAGCAGGCTAGATAAGTCTCTTCAAGCAGCTCCCTGAAGACTCCAAGCGCTTCAACAATCGCTGAGACGTTGATCTCTCTGCACTATAGATTACCAAAGTATGTTACAGACCTTAGACGACCAAAGTATATGAAACCTTCGCATGGAAAGCAAAACTATGCGGCCGGGAGTCTGCATGACGCTAAGTATTCATGTTGCATGCTAAGCCTCTCCAAACAGCTGCGGGCACAAGCAGATGGCTCTCTTATAGTATAAGTATAAGAAGGACCCTAAGGAATAATTATTTCGGCTTCTATATTCACCTGCTGCTTCCGCGCAGTGAGAGATTGCTTTGCAGCTGCTCACACACCCTGCTCAATGCCGTTTCAAGCATAGAATCATAATAAGGAACCCAAAAAAATCAGCACTGGTATTTTCTACTGGTATTCTGTTGACGACCTATTCGAGCACACTGGGAGCCTCAAGACTTTGGAAAGCCTGAAGACCCACAAGATATTATACTACCCCCAAATACAATACGTCGTGCTGCATATATATATATGCTTACTTATGTATTGTTTAATACCTTATAATACGATACAGACGATATTCTAACATCCCTTCAGTCTCCCTTCTCCCTAAAAGCCCTTCAGAGCTTCAGCGCTGAAGCAGGGATTCAGGGCCCAGGCTTCAGAGCCCAAGCTGAAGGGCTCGAGGTTCCGGGGCTTGGGGTGGGGGGGGGGGGGGGGGNNGGTTTAGGGTTTGGGGCTTGGGGTTAAGGGTTAAGGGTTAAGGGTTTAGGTTTTAGGGTATAGGGCTGGGGGTTAGGGTTCGGGGTAACTGTCAGGTTCAGGTACGCCTAGGCATCCCCGAAGGTTTAGGGTTTAGGGTTTCGGGTTTAGGGTTTAGGGTTTCGGGTAAACCGGACCCCAAGCTCAATCCGCACCCTCGAATCCTGAGACTCTTCTTGCCGGTCGCGGCTGAGCAAAATGGGGTCGTTTGCTGGTGTTACGACTGCCGGGCTCCTGCGTGGGCGCCTTTTCTCGGTGTAGGGTTTAGGGTTTAGGGTTTAGGGTTTAGGGCTCGACATACGGGGCATGACACTAAACAGCGGACAAGATGGATCATGGACATCTTTATATATAATATATGTATATATGCATATGCTGTAGCTACCCTTCAAAATCCTGAAACCTAAACATGCTTTCTTGTTACAATCTTCCAAGACTTCAGGGTCAGGGTTTGAGGCTGGGGTTTGGGGTCTGGGCTGCGATCGCAGGATCCGGTTGCCGCCAGAGGACCCGCCAACACCCCGAGATTTTGCAACTTCAGACTGTGCTTGAGGTTTAGGGTTTAGGGGTTTTGGGCATAGGGGTTGCGAGGGTTTTGGGCTGTGGGTTGAGGGTTTGGGGACTTACCTCAGACTGAAGAAAAGAGCAATTAAGGATCAAGTCGACTGCGGGCCTGCGCTGGCCCTGGGACTCTTGCTAGTTAAGGCCTCTGCCCAAACCCGGCAGTCTACTCACATGAAGAATCGCTGTCTCCAAACAGCACGGAGCTTGAAACAGCTGCGCTGCGATTCCATATTCCAGCCCATGGTACGGATCGCACTTGTTGCGGTAATTAAACTCTACAAACCAGAAACGTGCAGAGTGTCAAACTGCAAAACGTCCGTCAGCAAGCTAGAGTGTGTCGAGAACTCGAACCGCAAAAAAAATCATATTATGCACGATGCCATCTCACCCTAGCCCCAAACGGAAAGGCATAAAGGCTCGTGCTTCAACACCACTCCGAATCCTATAACAACCCTCAATGACTCAATGCTGAATCCTGAACCGTAAACTACTTTATTATGGTATACTATAGGACACCATTATACTATATTATGGTTTTTGTAGTATGGTATATTAAACCGCGGGCACGAATCGCGCATAACGTTTCAGCGAGTTGGGAATGCTGCTTCCACTGCAGAACCC